GGCATCTGATTGATGTTCTTTTCCAGCGAGGGCTGCTTTGTTCTAAGTTGCCACTAAGTCACCACCAAGTCATCGCCACCAACCTAACACTTTCTTCTAAGCATTTTTTTTTTTTACAGAGTTCAGACCAGGCTCTAACACAAATGTATTACTACCTTTTTTACCCAATATCATTCCTAATTGTTTCCCCCATAGAAATGATTAAGTGTGTGTAGAGATCTGCCACAATTTATTACATAATTCTTAAGTGATTTTCAGGTTATTTTAAATTTATTTTATTTTATTTATTTTTTGGTTAGGGAGAAACTAATTAAAACAGAATGGGGAGTCGGGCATGGTGGCACACACCTGTAATCCCACCTATTCAGGAGGCTGAGGCAGGAGGATGACAAGTTTGAAGCCAGACCCAGCCACTTAGCAAGATCCTGTCTCAAAACAAAGGTGCTGGGATGTAGCTCAGCGCTCCCCTGGCCTGTGGGAGGCCCTGGGTTCAAGCTCCCGTACTGCACAAAAACAGAGGAACCAGGAGGTAGACTGCCTTGGTCCTAGCTGTTTCCTGGGTAGAGAGGGCTAGGGCCTGCGGTGAGGGAAGGCCTTCTTCTTCATTAGCCAGTGGGCTGGGAGACCGCCAGAACTGTCCAGAAGTTAAGGTGGCCGAAACCAGGGTGGTGGACACAGGCCTGGAGAGGAGATAGGACAGAGATAGGGAGATCTCTGAGCCTCAACAGAAGGGGCGGATGGGCGGAGATAGAGAGAGGGAGGGGCAAATCTTGTCTTCTTTTTGGAAATCCTGAGCGAAGACCCCGACAGGAGAGGCTTGTATCTCCAAAGAGGAGCAACCAAGGAAAGTTCCCAGGGCCACCTGTTGACCTGCCGTGTCACCAGGCCAGGTGACTTTCTGTCTTTGAGCCCCTTTCTGAGGACCCATGCCTAAAAATACCCACCACCTGCCTCTGCCCCCAGCAGCCTTGGGCCTCTGTAAACTGAGACCGGTGGGTGAGCTGAGCAGGGACTGGGTGTGGTTCGGCCTGAAAGCCCTGCTCAGGACGGTGGATACCAGGTTGTGTCTGGTTATAAACATGTGAGACATAGGGGTGGCTGGCACCAGGACTTTGTCCTTGTGGAGGGAGGGAGAAGTTCGAAGTCATTAACAAATGATTACAATGTAATTGATAAGCCTGGTCCTGAGCCCGGAGGGACTTCATAACTGGGCTGGGAAGGAATTTTTCTAGAAGGACTTTGCTTTCATGGGATATTTGTTCATGCTACGAATACACTGTGTACCCAGGTTTGCTCTGCTAACTCCTGTGCTAAGTACTGGGGTTACATAGGGAAATAAAAAGGATTAAAAATCTGTGTCTTCTTTGCATTTATGTTCTACTGGGAGAAGACAGAGAGCAAAATAGGCAAACTAATGTGATAGAAATGGAATGTTACTAGGAAAACAGAGCATAGTGCAGGGGGGACAGGGTGTGCATGTGAGGGGTTTGGCTACTTACCAAGGTGGGGGACAATGGAGCAAACTCTTGGACACTGAGGGGGAATCATTCTGTACCTGGGGAACAGTAACAGAGAAAACAGCCAGTGGGAAAGACCTGAAGCCAACTGTGTTCCACTGGTTCTAGGAACAGCAGCGGGTCATGTGGAGAGCCTGAAGGGTCTGAGATGAGGTCAGGCATGTCTGGGCAGGGAGAATGGCAGATCAAGCCTTTGTTCGGACTTGTAAGGGCTCCAGTTTTTATTTAGAATGAAATGAGAGCTGGGCATAATGGCACATACCTGTAATGCCAGTTAACTCAGGAAGCTGAGGCAGGAGGTTTGCGAGTTCAAGGCCATCTGGTCAACTTAGTGAGACCCTGTCTCAAAATAAAAAAGAAAAAGGGCTGTGGGTGTAGCTCAGTGGTAGAACATTTGCCTGGCAGATGTGAAGCCCTGGTTCAATGGGCAGTACTCCCCTCCCTCTCTAAAAAAGAGGAGTCAGTGGAGGATTTTGAGAAAAATGCTAAATTTGACTCAGGATTTACTTATTATTTATTTATTTAGCCGTACTGTGGATTAAAATCAGGGCCATGCACATGCCAGGTGAGTGTTCTACGGGTTTCAGAATAATTCTTCTGATTCCCACACTGACATAGACCAGACAGAGAGCAAGAGGAAGATGGGTTTGGAGAGACTTGCAACAATCCTGGGTAGACCAGCAGTGGGGGTGGGGTGGAGGAGGTCAGAGCCTAGGTATATTCTGCAGATAGAACCAACAGAATTTCCTGCCTGCCTATGTGGATAGAGGCAGGAGAGGGGATTCAAGCATGATTCCAGGTGCTGGGCCACAGTGGCACATGTCTGTAATCCCAGTGACTCAGAAGACTGAGGCAGGAGGATGGAAAGTTTGAGCTCAGCCTTGGCAATGTATTCAGACACTGTCTCAAAATAAAAAGGTCTGGGAGTGTGGCTTTGTGGTAGATGGCCTCTGGGTTCAATCCTCAGTGCCCCCACCCTACACTACCCAAACAGAAGGAGTTCTGACCCAAAGAAAGAAGGATGGAGTTGGCCACAGCTAGTGGGGTGGTGGTGAAGGCTGGGAGGGAGCAGATTTGCATGTGTGTAGAAGGGGTATGTATGACCTTGGACCTCCAAGCAAGAGGTGTCAGCAGAGAGTTGGGGGAGGTGGAGGGGAAAATATAAATTTGGGGCTCTTGCACATCAACCCAGAACTTGATTGCATTTTTTTGAATTGTTTTTTTTTTAATTGATTCCATTTTATGCTTTTCAGTTCACTGGCTAAAGATGTGGACCTGGCAAACAGAAATAGGTCAGGCGGCTGGAATGATACCTGCAGAGTGTGGCAGGTCGGGCCACCTAGAGCGAGGAGGGGCAGGAACGAAGCGCAGCTAAGTAGAACGGGAAGAAAAATCCGCTTTCCGTGCTTTGCCGATTCGTTTCGTGTTCCTGCACACAGCACTCGGTATACGTTCACGCCCCAATTCCACACGCATCTTTCACGCAACAAATAGACACTGTATTCAGTTTCACCTTCAAAACAGGCTCAATTGGAAGAAATTAGGGTTAAGAGAATTGAAGCGGCGATAGGACGCCACAGAATTTGTAGCGGGTGGTTCTAAGTCCAGGCGCCCAAGGAAGCTCTGTGATGGGCGGAGTTGCGGGGACCCATTTTGGTGTGCGAGCCGCAGGAGAACCAGGTCACCCCCTCCGAGCGAGCGGCGCGCCGCGCTGGACTTCGCGGCGAGGCTCCTTTAAGGCCGGGCGGGTGACCTCAGCCGCGCACTCACCGCCCCGCCCTCCCGGCCGCGCGCCCAG